GATGTCTACAATGACATTTATGAAGAGACCTCGTACTTTGGTAGGAAAAGGATGGGAGATGGGAAAGAAAGGAGAGTGAAAAAGGAACCACAGAAGATGTTCTGGAGGAGGATGGGAGAACGTTTTACTGTGTTCAGAAGGAAGCAGGCTAAATACAGCCTAGAGAACCTAATAGAGAGCAGGAGAGTACCAATCATTCCAGTAGATATTTTTGAGATAAAGACAGGAGAAGACTTCTTTAACATCAAAGTCAAGGTTGAGGAGAATCTCACAACTGTGGACAAATTACAGAGTAAGATTTACTGTTTCACATCAGTTACACAAGCTGGCTCAGTGCTTTCAGGGAAAGGTTTAGTTAGCATTGTATTCTTTTACTTGAAGGCCTGATATCATAATAACATTAAACCTTGTGGTTTTGATCCTATTTTGGACTTCTTGATATTTGAGACTTGGCTTTGAATTCTAGGTGTGATGAGCACCTCAGAGATGCCTAAGTCTCTTAACCCTGATTCGGTCCAGTCTGAGATCATGGACCTAATGAATATCCTGCTGGAAGATGATGATCTCAAAGCTCCTGAGAGTGAGGTAAGTGAATATTATAAACTAGAACAGCCTGCTAGTCTTTTATTATTGTGTCCACAGTTAGTGAAACAAAGCCTTGAGTACCAATAAAATTTGAAAGGAATTTTATATGATTTTTAAAAAGATTTTTTGGGACAGATATTGCAGAGTTTGGGAAATATTTTTAAGATTTTGAATGATTGCTTCCCATTTTTCAGTAAGATTGACTCATTTTTCTTATTGGATTGTTTTGCAGGGCCCCTCTGGAAATAAAACAATGGTCTCAGTAGATCTTTGCTGCTCTAAATAATGTAAATAGTGTAAATATAATGTAAATAAATTTACATTCTCACAGTACCTAAGTAGCTGATGAATTTCTTGCTAGAAGAGGATGAGCCCAAAGCTTATGATCTGTGTGAAATCCTTCATTCTGAGAAACTCGGAGTCAGAACTGTCCACAGTGGAGATGGGAACCAGACATCTGAATAGTTTAATGCCTCTAAAAGCTCCATCATAGAAAATCAATACACTACATGGTAACAAAGATGTTGCACAATGCCTGAGACGTCTGTTTTATGACAGATGTGAGATAAGCTTTTGTTCTTTAACATATTTTTAAAATCAATTCTTGTAGCACAGTGTAAGTTGAAAGGGCAGTAATGCTGCCAACTGACCAACTCATTTAAAATATAGGCACTTTTTTTCAAGTTAGAGACAGTTAAAGCATCAGAGATCAAGATATAAATTGTCAGATTGCACAAGTCAATTTTCCATGTCAGTTTATCCTTCACCTAATGGTCTACTTGTGACAGACTGATGAGAGCAGTTGTAATGTCTATTGTGTGTGTATATATATTTATACCTTCAGCAGTGTTTCTCTTTGAGCAACATTATGAAATACATTTAGCAATGCTAAGATGAGTTAACCATCAAAATTAGTCAACTTTTTACAGTTGAGTGTGTTCATGTGTTGTAGGTTCCCTTATACAGTGCTGTTTGGTTAGCTTTCCGATCATTAGACATATTAGACTAGATGTATAACTTCTAATGACGGTCGCCTAAATGAACTTCCATGGTCTGTCTATATGAAAAGTTTGGTAGCACTTTATTTGAAGGGTGTCTACATAACACATTCATATCACCTTACATAAACACTTCAGAACGTGTTCATGAATGCTTAAATCAACATTCGTAAACATTTTTTATTTTGAATAACTTTATTATTTTCAGTAAAACTCCTTATTATTGGACTGTCAGCATAAAAATTACCTGGCTTTATCCCTTTGGATAGAAAGTGCTTTGACACTTTTTGCCTAGACTTTCAACTTTCACTTTTTTTTATTTTTTTTTCTTAAGCATTTGTATTTTGCACTATGCTATTGTTTCTCCTTTTTACTCTGATTCTTCTTTAAAGATGCACTGTTAATTCAACAGTCTATACATAGTTGTGAAAATGTTACTTAAACTAAGTTTAACTTTCTTGGGGTAAATGCTAACAGTGTTATCCCAATTACTTTGGAAGTTTTTTTTTTAGTGATGTTCTTCCTCACTTACAGTTTTGGAGAAGGCACAAGTATAACTGTGCATTGGTTATCCTGTGTAACTGTCACTTTGAGGTTAAATGTGACATGCACTGATATCCGAAGGAATGATTCCTTTTTTTGCATTACTTCAAAGCACAATCAAGTGGTGACTCTTTGACTTTCCTCACTCAGGGTGCTGATAATTTTGTAAGAAATGTCCTTTATTAATTTGCCTTGCTTTGCCTTCACCACAAAAGTGATGGAAACCACGTTATCCTGACTAAAGTGCATGTTACATGAATACAGTGGAGGAAATAAGTATTTGATCCCCCACTGATTTTGAAAGTTTGTACTCTGACAAATTATTAAACAGTTTATGATTTTTATGGTAGCTTCATTTTAACAGTGAGAGATGGAATATCAAAAAGAAAATCTAGAAAATTAAATAATATTTAGATAAAAAATAATTTGCATTTCATTGAGGGAAATAAGTATTTGATCCCCTAAAAACCATGACTAATGTTGGCTCCCACAGACCACTGACACACCCTAATCTCAGTGAAGTCGTTACCTGCATGAGAGACACCTGTCCCAAATTGTCACCTGTATAAAAGGCCACCTGCCAACAGACTCAGTGACACTCCAACATCTCCACCATGGGCAAGACTAAAGAGCTGTCTAAAGATGTCAGGGACAAAACTGTTGACCTGTACAAGGCTGGAATAGGCTACAAAGCCATAAGTAAGAAGCTGGATGAGAAGGTGACAACTGTTGGTGCAATTATTCGGAAGTGGAAGAAGTACAACATTACTGTCAGTCGACCAAGGCCTGGAGCTCCATGCAAGATATCACCTTGTGGAGTCTCTTTGATCATGAGAAAGGCTAAAAATCAGCCAAGAACTACACGGGAGGAGCTGGTTAATGATCTCAAGGCAGTTGGGACCACAGTCTCCAAAAAAAACATTGGTAATACACTGAGACGTAATGGTTTAAAATCCTGCAGTGCACGCCAGGTTACTCTGCTCACGTCCAGGCCCGCCTCAAGTTTGCCAATGAACATATTAATGACTCCGAGAGAGACTGGGAGAAGGTGCTGTGGTGAGATGAGACCAAAATTGAGCTCTTTGGCCTCAACTCAACTCGACGTGTTTGGAGGAAGAAAAATACAGAATATGACCCTAAGAACACCATCCCCACCGTCAAACATGGTGGTGGAAGTATTATGTTTTGGGGGTGTTTTTCTTCTAAGGACACAGGCCAACTTCACCGCATCGATGGGAAGATGAACAAGGCCATGTATCGCAAAATCCTGGGTGACAACCTCCTTGCCTCCGCCAGGGCACTGAAAATGGGTCGTGGATGGGTCTTCCAGCACGACAACGACCCAAAACATACAGCCAAGGAAACAAAGGAGTGGCTCCATAAGAAGCATATCAAGGTCATGGAATGGCCTAGCCAGTCTCCTGACCTCAATCCCTTAAAAAAGCTATGAAGAGAGCTGAAGCTTCGCGTTTCCAAATGCATGCCTAAAAACCTTAAGGATTTGGAGATGATCTGCAGAGAGGAGTGGGCCAAAATTACTCCTGAAGTGCAAACTTTCTAAAAAACTACAAGAAACGTCTGACTGCTGTGCTTGCCAACAAGGGTTTTGCCACCAAGTATTAAATGATGTTTTACTAGGGGGTCAAATACTTATTTCTTTCAATGAAATTCAAATTAATTTTTATTTCTCATTTCATGTAATTTTCTCAGTTTTTCTTTTGATATTCTATGTGTCACTGTTAAAATAAAGCTGGCATAAAATTATGAGACGTTTCATTTATTTTTTTGTATTAAAACTTTTAAAGTCAGTGGGGGATCAAATACTTATTTCCTCCACTGTAGATAGATATTGAATGGAATGGATAAGTATTATGGGCCTGTCCCACCACCACACAAAGACTGAGACTTTAAGTTGATTGACTGTTCATAGCATATTTATGTAATTCACTGTCCATATAGTAAAGTGACATGCAAAGCAGCATTCATAAGTGATTCATAGCATTTTTAAGAGATGTTTACAGACCATGTGTATAAATAGTGATAGTGATTTACAATTAAACATTTACAAGTATTTTACTTACCTTTTGCAGCAAGACCCAATGACTGTCAAAAGGAGTCAATAAACACCACAAATAGGAAGGTCCTTTTTTATTGGCAAGATCAATGTTCAGAGCAGGCATTTAAACATGCTGCTCAAACTCAAATCAGGAAACTACAAACTCTTCTGAACATGGAACTGCAAAATACAGATGTGTTTGCTAAAATCTTCAATTCTTTTCTAAAACAAAAATAAAACACACCACCTCATGTGGCCATTACTTAAGGGTACTGCCTTCACTTTGTTCCTTTTTTTCTTAGACTGAAATTGTTTAAACACTCTGAAAAACAAAACAAAAATATGACAAAAAAAATGGCACAAGTCACTGCAACTTCTTGAGGAGCATAACAGTATCAATCTGAGTCTGAAGATATCATGATACTGGCACTGCTGCTGGTTGTCTGTCCTCTTCTGGCTATAAAAAGACCATACAGGAGCAGTCAAATGTGTGGAATGTGTGTGTTCATGTGTTCACCTTCATAATCCCTTTTTGTACCTTTAAGATATAGAATCTTACTTGAAATCCAAAACTACAAGTGTTTAATCCCTTCAAAACACGCTAAGGCTTATTATTCAGTAACTACAGGGACTTCAGTGCAAACTGATTGAGCTCTTCGTAGGTTATAGACGTGTGTAATAAAACTCTGGGCCTGTCAGTGAGCCTGGCCATTTAAGGCGTTAAGCTTACTGTGCAGCAGTCACAACAAAACGAAAATAGGGATGCGGTGCAGCAGTTTCACAGAGAAGACACCCAGAAGTCAGACTAACCACAGAGAAAAACAACTGAACTGTTGAACACTGCATTAAAGCATAGCATGAAAGACATCATAACCATGTCATTGCGAGACTTAAAAGTGGATTGGCTTGTAGAGTATTTTATCATTTTGTACTTATACCTTCTGCATTAACACCTGCACATTAGAAAACCTCTCTGAGCCAAAACACCAGCACCGAAAACCTGTCTACGGCAGGAAATAGGTCATCTTCCTGCTTATTTGTAAAAGGAAGCGTTTCTCACACTCTCTGTAATGGTGGTGATGATGCTGCAGCTGATCTTCGTTCTCTCCATTCTGATCTCAACCACAGGTAAACAATTCTCTGAACTTCATCACTATAGAGGTAGTCCATCTGTTTCTCTGCATACTTTGTTAGCCCCTTTTACCCTGTTCTTCAGTGGTCAGGACGCCCATGGACCCTCACAGAGCAGGTCCTATTTGGGTTGTGGATCATTCTCAGCACTGCAGTAACACTGATGTGGTGGTGGTGGTGGTGTGTTAGTGTGTGTTGCGCAGGTCTGAGTGGATCAGACACAGCAGTGAGTGTAGAAACAAGGTAGTGGTCATAATGTTATGCCTGATCGGTGTATATCTGAGGGGCTAGAAATAAAAGCCTATGATTAGCTTTAATTGAACAAACCTTCAATTCAGCTCTAAGTCACATTTTACAAAGGTTTATCATGGGAAACTGAAGGGAGAGAATTAGATTTATAGGGTGTATGATGAAGAGGAGGATGGGCTTAAGGCATGGCCTCCATTTCTTTTCATCTTGGCAGCGTATTATTTAATGTATGTGTTACGTGTGAGCGCTGTGTGTTTCCCCCACCCCCTCTCTCTTCCGTGCTGTCTCTCACTCTCTTTCCCGCTGCTTTTTACCTATCTTTCGCCTCATAGGCAGATCGGATTGTCACTCTTGACTGTTTCTTGTTGGCCAATCAGAGAGCACGATCGGACCAAGAGGGTGCAGGACTTTGAGTTCAAAGGCTGCGCGTTCTGATAGCTCTGGCCTTGGCTCTGTCACTGTTATTGCCATTGTCATTTTGAGCTGGTTTCCCCCTGGAAAGAACAGTTTAGAACATGTGCACACTTACATTGCCACACGTGGTTACACATCTGTATAGACACACTAGTTTAGAGGCAGGTACCACCCCCTGTATTTTTGTTATAGCTTAACTTAGAGTAGCAGTTGTTTAATGTCTGCTAGTTAAATAAGATACTGAAAAATACAGGTTAGTGTAGCTCCCTTTTGTTCTTTTCTTTTCTTTGGTGCTGTCTGTGTTCACTTCCAGGCTGGTTCAGCCATCTGACATCCCAGTTTGTCTTGTCTATCTGTGTCTGTTTACCTGTGTTTATATGACATCCTTTGTCTTTGTGCCTGTGTTTATAAATAAACACCTGATTGTTGTATAGATACGTGTTGGTTACTTCACTGGTTAGCCACGTCCATACACTCGCTCCACACGTTACTGTTCCTACACTCACCTCTAGACCGTGGATTTTTGTGGGAACGTAACATATGCATTACATGACAGCAAGGTTTTCCACATTTAGGCCTCCTGCTCTGTTGTGCTCCACCTGCTGAGTTTATATCTGCACATTATTCATTTGAACAAAAATGCATGTATTTATGAATATAAACAGATACGGACAAAAGTACGCAAACACTTTGTTAAGAATACAGTGGTATATTTTTGAACACTCCTGATCAAATGCACATGCTTTACTGAATATCTAAATGAAAATATGTTAACACATCCTTTACAGAGAAGATAAATATTACCTTTATTTACTTCTTTTTGCACAATTTCTTTCAAGTGCTGAGTTTAACATATTGGGAAAAAAAAAGAAGCATAACTTTTGCATAGGCCACTTTTTAAGTTTGTTTCTTTCAAGTATGTTAAATTCAGCAAATAAGCAGTAATTGGGCATTTAAATGCATATAAAATGCGTAGAGCTATATATTAAATAACAAAAACAAAAGTATTTGAATACTTGTTTGCCCCTACTATATGTATTAAGTTTTTTTTATTAGTCATCAACACACCACACAGTACTAAAGCATGAAAAAAGAAATCACAATATAACAAATGTATATTTTATTCTTCTTCTCTTTCTGTAGTGTCCAGTGATGTGCTCAGATGGGTTGGTGATTCTGTTAATCTGGACATACAGCATCCTGCACCAGAGTTTGATGAATTGTCCTGGGTTTTTAACAGAACTGAAAATGTTCTAACTAATAATGTTCTAAAATATTATACTGAAGGTAAAAAAACTAAACAGTATCCTGCTTATGAAGGCAGAGTGGAGTTCAATAAGGAAACCTACAGTCTGACACTGAAGAACTTACAGAAGAATGATAGCGGACTGTATGAAGCAAGAGCGTCTGGTGATGAGAACAGAGTTGTTGCTGAGTACAGACTCTCTGTGTTGGGTAAGTCTTACAGAATATCAGCTAGTGAGAAGAAACACCACTGTCCTGTAAGCTACTTGACCACTTTGAGTTGATTTTTTTTAACTGAGCAATGATCTGAAAGCCATCTGACATCCCAGTTTGTCTTGTCTATCTGTGTCTGTTTACCTGTGTTTATATAGCATCCTTTGTCTTTGTGCCTGTGTTTATAAATAAACACCTGATTGTTGTATAGATACGTGTTGGTTACTTCACTGGTTAGCCACGTCCATACACTCGCTCCACACGTTACTGTTCCTACACTCACCTCTAGACCGTGGCCTTTTGTGGGAACGTAACATATGCATTACATGACAGCAAGGTTTTCCACATTTAGGCCTCCTGCTCTGTTGTGCTCCACCTGCTGAGTTTATATCTGCACATTATTCATTTGAACAAAAATGCATGTATTTATGAATATAAACAGATACGGACAAAAGTACGCAAACAAGAATACAGTGGTATATTTTTGAACACTCCTGATCAAATGCACATGCTTTACTGAATATCTAAATGAAAATATGTTAACACATCCTTTACAGAGAAGATAAATATTACCTTTATTTACTTCTTTTTGCACAATTTCTTTCAAGTGCTGAGTTTAACATATTGGGAAAAAAAAGAAGCATAACTTTTGCATAGGCCACTTTTTAAGTTTGTTTCTTTCAAGTATGTTAAATTCAGCAAATAAGCAGTAATTGGGCATTTAAATGCATATAAAATGCATAGAGCTATATATTAAATAACAAAAACAAAAGTATTTGAATACTTGTTTGCCCCTACTATATGTATTAAGTTTTTTTTATTAGTCATCAACACACCACACAGTACTAAAGCATGAAAAAAGAAATCACAATATAACAAATGTATATTTTATTCTTCTTCTCTTTCTGTAGTGTCCAGTGATGTGCTCAGATGGGTTGGTGATTCTGTTAATCTGGACATACAGCATCCTGCACCAGAGTTTGATGAATTGTCCTGGGTTTTTAACAGAACTGAAAATGTTCTAACTAATAATGTTCTAAAATATTATACTGAAGGTAAAAAAACTAAACAGTATCCTGCTTATGAAGGCAGAGTGGAGTTCAATGAGGAAACCTACAGTCTGACACTGAAGAACTTACAGAAGAATGATAGTGGACTGTATGAAGTAAGAGCATCTGGTGATGAGAACAGAGTTGTTGCTGAGTACAGACTCTCTGTGTTGGGTAAGTCTTACAGAATATTAGCTAGTGAGACGAAACACCACTGTCCTGTAAGCTACTTGACCACTTTGAGTTGATTTTTTTAACTGAGCAATGATCTGAAAGAACACCATCCAAGCCATGTAAAAGTTTCAAAATGTATCATTCACTCCTCAGTCCATACAGTTCATATACAGAAATGTAGCTGCAAAAACAGCCCATTTTGAATTCAGTTTTGTGCTGTCAGGAAAACCAATGCATTTGCATACATCCCCCCATTCAGCCAACAACAGTTTAGCTCTGCTCACTCATACTGAAGCTATAAGAAGTGTTTCAGTTGGACTGCCTTGTTGAGTGAGGCGCATCCTGCTGCCTCTCATTTTTTTCTTTTTCTTCATCATCTGAGCTGTTCTCATCCTCCCTCTCACATATTTCACTTTATTCACAGTCATTTAACTCTTAAGCCATCTAACTCACAAGCCTTCTAGCACCAATCAAGCAATATCAGGTCTGAAGTAATAATAATAATAATAATAATAAATAATAATAATAATAATAATAATAATAATAAATATTTATTTATAAATAAAGCACTTTTCATGCCGGTGGCAGCTCAAAGTGCTTTACAGACAGGTGATAAAACATAGTTATACAAGAAATCAGATCAAACTAGAAGATAAACACCACGAGATGTGGAGTTTTAAATAAAGGCTAATTTAAAGAGATACATTTTTAGATGCTTCTTAAAAGTGAGCACTGAGCTTGACTGTCTAATAAAAGGTGGAAGTTTTTAGAAGCAGAATAATTGAAAGAGGCCTCTCCATGTTTTCTGTATTTTACAGAGGGTATCTGTAGAAGGCCACTATCTGCAGATCTTTGATTATGTGCCGGAACATAAACAGACAGACACTCTGTGATGTAAGCAGGTGCTAGGTTGTTTTAAGCTTTAAAGACCAGTAGCAGAACCTTGAAATCTATCCTGAATGATACAGGCAGCCAGTGCAGTTCTTTTAAAACAGGAGTAAAGTCCAGTCTTAGGAAGTCCAGTAAGAAGAGCATTACAGTAGTCAAGTCTGCTTGTAACAAATGCATGAATTAGTTTCTCTGCGTCGCTCTGAGATAGAAAAGGCTGAACTTTAGCGACATTTCTCAAATGATAAAAAGCTACTTTAGTGACTGTGTTTATATTCGGGGTAAAACAGAGCTCAGAGTCTAAGATCACACCCAGGTTTCGTAAAGAACCAAGCTTCTTATAAATAATTTTTCTCTGAGTTTCTCTATTACTTAAATATGATTTAAACCATTCTAAAACTGTGCCAGAGAGGCCAACCCAGCATTCAAGACGCTGGATTAAAATCTTGTGGTCAACGGTATCAGAGGCTGCACTAAGATCTAATAAAACCAAAACAGAAGGATTTTGTGCATCAGCGCTGAGCCTGAGGCCTGAGGTCATTCATAACGTGAATCAATGCTGTCTCTGCACTATGGTTAGAACGAAAACCTGACTGAAACTTCTCATATAAATTCTTTGATATTAGATATTTAGTTGTTTGAAAACAACTTTTTCTAAGACTTTGCTTAGAAAAGGTAGGTTTGAAATTGGTCTAAAATTATTTAGTATATAAGGATCGATGCCACTCTTTTAGTATTTAGTTCAGGCCCTGAAACAGTCATGTAAATATTTTGCAATGGTACATAATCAGCAACAGAGCTCAGCCGCTGAATCTTGTCATATACAGGTCCATGCTTACTAATGCAAGGTATACCCTCACTGCTTCTTCCTACTGCTATCAAGCTGGGCCTGAAGTGAAGGTTTATAATTACAAAGAAACTTGACATTACGGATCCAATATGTCTAAAATCCACACTCTCAACTGGCATTCCATGCATCTCTGTGTAATGAAAGTTTATTATACTTAGCCCTTAGCCCTCCGTTTTGAGTGTTCACATCCCGTTTTTTTATTGAGACAGAGGGGTAGGGTGAAGTGTTAGACCCTCCAAACTGAGGTTTTTCAGAGGCATATTCCAAACACAGCAAGATGGCTGCACAAGCGACCAAACAAACCCACAAATATTTTCTCCATCAAAAATTATGATAACCATAGTATTATCTTAGTTTAACATGGTTCCAATGTATTATGGTCATTTTTCTTCATAACAAGCATAAAAATTGCTAGTAGTATGTGGATGTCTCGGTAGCTAGCTAGCTAATTTTCCATTCCATCTTAAATTTAAGGTGGAACAGAGAAGTTTGAACAAGAAGTTGGCGAATAGCTGACTGCTGAAGTTTCATATCACTGAAGAATTAGGGGTGATAATAAATAATTGTCGCGCCCCCTTTGAAGGAATAAAATTCCTTAAATGTAACCCTCCTCTGCTGTCACTGCAGACTTTCAGGTCGCCTACAAAGCAGTGCTAGTAGCCTGATAATGAAATAACATTCTTTTTTATTCGAGGGTCCCATTTCATAAAGAAAGATTTCAACCACTACCCCTTGTAACAAGATGACACTCGAAACAAGGGGTGGGGTTAAAAATAAGAAATGGGAATGGACTTAGACTAGGAACACAAAATGTTTAAAAACATCTTAAAACAGGTGATGCAATCATACTTGCATGTGAAACGAGCATCCAGGAAAGGCTGAGTCCTTTCATGAGCGAGGAATGGGTAGACGCTCACCACTCTGCCAAAAATGCCTCAGCAAAAAAATCCAACAAAAAATCCAACATTTTAAAAGGTATTTCAGCTGCTGTAACATCAAAGATGCAGGAAATCTGGAGATATCTCTGAGTGTAGAGGACAAAGACAAAAAGTGAATGCCCGTGACCTTCGACCCCTCTATCCACACTACATTAAAAGCCAGCATGCATCTGTAATGGATATGGAAGTCAGGGTCTGTCATGGAATTGGGGCGGGGGGAGCATTAGTCAATAACTTGCACATCTGTCATAGCACCAACTCTGAAGATGTTTTGGAGCAACAAATGCTGTCTATTTCAAGGGGGGGTCTATTTCATGACAAGCACCAAGTAATATTCTGAAAGTAAACATTATGTCTCCCCATGCCCATAACTCTACCAATGTACTGACCCTGTTTTACACCTACGTCCAGATGGATCTCTGCTACTATTAGGTATACAGGTATTGTGTTAGGTATTAGGTATTATGCTAATGAATGATGCTAATTTAGACCTAGCTATAGAGTTTAGCTGCTGTGTGCCATGCATCTGATGGTGGTCCAGGAAACCTTGGGTTGACTAATCTTTTTTACATTGTGTATCCTGTGGAACACAGCCTAGACACTGGGTAATGTTAGTTAGGTAGCGTACCGTTTAACTGACATAAGCTATGTGCCTAAAACATTATATGATCATTATTAACTGTTTTTTTTATTTAATTAGAACAAACCCAAATAAAAATATATTTTGTTGGCAATACGGCTGCTCAATCACAAATCTGCTGTTGTGTACACTCATCATCTTCCTCTTGATTAAATTTTGCAGCAAGAAGTGAGACATTTTACTGATCTTCTCAAGTGACATTAGTTTTAGAGAAGGTTAAAAACATTATATAATATAATTATATAATTTTATTAAATTCATGCTCACGCAGTTCTTTACACTGGAAGCCAATTTTTCATGTTAATAAAAAGTGAAGGAGCAAAAGTGAGTTTGATCACTCTGTAATAAATATGGCTCCAGATGTTACACAGCTTTCACAATGTTTGAAAGATCAAGATTTTTGCTTTGAAAATGAATTAAATATGACACTCAGAGACATAGTCTGAAACAGGTTATTTAGAAAGCTGTTTTATATTTGGTTTTCATATTTAACCAACTGTGGGTTTTGTTGTGTGTGTTTCAGATGCAGCCTCTTCTCTGCTGGTGCACCTGTGTGTTTGCTGAAGACTGTGCTGTATTCCATCAATCTGATCCTCATTCTGTCTGTTTTACTGTAG